ACATACTTACAAACTACTTCCAAATGCGTTCTTTCTCATTCTGAACCGTCATTGCATATACAGATATATAGCTAACTGGACTAATAAAAAGTAGAAATAGCACATCATCTGTTGACAAAGGCAATCAACAGAGAACCCTTCATATGTTACAAATATTGTTTCTGTTATTAACCTCATCGAACGTCATTGTTGAGTGGTTAGTACTTCTGCTTTGTATTCTGGTCCCGCGTTTAAATCTCGATCCGGAGACTACCCATCCTCGCTGTGGTTCTTCGTGTTCTTTCCTGGATGCATCCAGGTAAATACCAGGATAGTGCCTTAAATTAGGCCACGACCACTTCCACATCCATTCCAATTAATTATTCACTAATTATTTTACAGTATCTATTCGACGGTATATAATCTGAGCTACTCAGAGCAACGTTAAATAAATAACAAATAAGTAAATAAGTTATTAATCTCCTTATATGCCTGAGGGTAAAATGGTATCTTTTCTTAAAGTTTTCGGCCAAACTATGTTGTCTGTGTGTGTATACGGTGCGGACTTTAAGGTCTTTAGAAACCTCGGGGTTTGGTTTTGCACAGCAGAGCAGTACAGCTCTGAAAGGACTGTAAAAGCTGCCAGTTCTCCGATGCATTTACAAGTGGCTCTGCAGATGTCCTCGGTGAGATTCAGTACATGCCTGGACACGTAAAATTTGTTGTCGAACACGCTGATAAACGCCGGGGGTATTGCGGAATTACAACCCGCGACCCTAGCTGTCGTGTGGTCTTACACGTCCGGGATCGATTAATGTTGTATGTCATAATAAAAGCACACGCGGTGATTACTAGGGAGAAAGTGGTCTTGCTGTATTGTCCATCAGGATACACCGCAACATTCACATACCAGATTTGATCAGAACCGTACCAAGTTCAGTAAATTGGCCTCTCTCTCTCTGTAGGGGGAGCTGGGCACAGCGGCTGGAGAAAGTAGATTAGTGATGGACAAATGCTACGTAAGATTATTATCCATTCGTGAGCATCTTTAGCGATGGCCATGTTCAGAGTCACGAGACGTTGCCGATGATTTGGATCCGAATCGAAGGACTTTGTGCAAAAAGGATGTAGCGCAATTTGTATAAAGCTACTGGATATGATGTAGGATTTGAGATTATCACGGCGATGTAAGTATAAATAGCGTTCTGATTGGTTATTATACCATCTAGTGTACTGGTATACTAACGTTTCGGTGGCGATTGCAAAAACAAGATCGAATTGCTTCCAAGACAACGTGTTGAGAGTATTATATGAAGTCCAAGAATCGAACACGTGCCTCCAGTTGTGATCTTGGCTAAAAGCAGATGAAAGGGTCAGATTAACGAATATCTCGAAACCCTAGCAGCATGCCAAGGACTTGGAAGCAGGTTGTCGTGGCCTGCTTGAAGACGTCCAGACATATCCCTGGAGTTACTAATATGCAGTCAGGATTTTCGCCCTGGTGACTAGCTAAGTTTAATGACTGAACAGATTATTCTGTTTAATATCTGACGATAACGAATTATGGACTGAGAAGGAAGCAATTGTGGCCTTTTTGTAATGCAGGATTACAGAATGCACATGAACTGAATTAGAAAAGCTATGATAGCCGATGTTCGGCTGGAGGTTAAAGATCATGTAGTCCTTGGCACGATCTGAGACTTGCTTAAAAGTGTGACCATCCAATTACGAAGAAAACGTCACACGTGTTGACCGCGATCTGCTGACAACGGTTGCAAAAGCAAAGACAGTAATATCTCTGTGCCTAAGTGAAGCCCAACGAATTCCAGACCTCGGTACTAGCAGGATGTCAGAGGACATCTTCTGGCTTCGATTACCTGATTCCAGAGGAAAACAAACACCTTCTGACACTAAATTCAGCAATGGAGGGAACACCGTTGTTCTGAATGTCATTTCATCGGTGAATACCAAGTCGTAACGAGGGGGGCCAACATTGCAACCATGAAGTGCACTGAAACATACAAATCGTGTGAGGAAGCAAACAGAAAAAAATGAGTCTGTCACTTCTGGCCTTACCAATGAAAAGTCCGTTCACCAAGCCAATCTAGGGCACAGCTTCTAATTGCAGAATCATGTTGAGTCCCGATGAGGCATGCAACCTGCAGCGCTCTCTTATTTACGGTAAACAACTACACAGTATATCTTTATCGATAGTCGACTCTCGAGGGGCACACCCACACCTTTCGCCAAGAGGTTGAAAGGCAATTATTGGTATAGTACATGTTCTATGAAAATCCTTAAGGGAGAAATAGATCCGTAATTCTTGTAGAATTACTTGTCCTTTAATTGAAAAGGGATCGGTCTTTTGAACTTCGCCCACCCGGAACTCCTCTCACTGACCTCTTGCAGACAAGCTTCAGTTCGGCCTCTTCAGTCCTTCCTAACGGTAGCGTTATAATTTCAGAACAAATTCATCCGTGCGAAAGAAAATGGAAGTTCGCCCAACAACATCGTGAGATTGTAGCAGTTTTTCAAGGAAACACGTCATGCTAATTAGCTAACTCTATTGTATAGGGCTTTCTTCGAACAGCTTATATGTACAGTTATTCAACACATAAAGACGTTACTCGTTTTTATAAACGAACCCGAACGTCCATCACCGTGTTCTCATACGCCAGACATTAGGCCCTTTCTCGTTGTAACTGAATTCATTTCATATCTATGCATTCTGTTTATGTAAGAACCATTTTAATATTATCCTTCCGGCTACCAGCAAGTCTCCAAAGCGTTTAATTTCTTTGAGGTTTTCCAACCACAATTATGCATTTATACCTGTAAAGTTTAAAGTGATGTTAGAACAAATTTACGTAGCTAAATTTCTAGAGCCTCTTTTATTACAGTGGTGTGTAACTCGTGAAAGTGATTAGCATCTCCGAAAAATTTGTTATGTTATTAATGACTGTGGGAAATTATAACGTATGAAGTCTCAGTGGCCTCCGGCGCGTTTAATTCAGGTGCTCAGTGCTGAGAATGAAAAATGAAACACTAATACAGATAAACAATCTTGCTTTCTCGTTGGCTGCTCCTGTACCGTAAAATAGAGTTGATTTCCTGCCTCGCCTTTGAGAATACCAATCGAAGAGCGTTACTTTCGCTAGCTGCCCTACCACAGTCGACTCACACTCGAACCTTTGCCCTGGTTTTCATATCACAGAACGTCACATTCCTCGGTGAGAGGAGGAGTCACAAAGCCGGAAGTTTAGTCCCGTCGGCAGAAGATAATGAGGCGTAGGTGGGAGGGTGTGGTGATATAGACTGGATTCAGCTGGCTAGGGAGCAGGGATTAATTCTCTTTCCCCCTTTTATTTTACTGTCAGGCGAATTCTTACGATCGACTCAATATCAATCTCTTTTCCGTATCTTAACTCTGTTATAAACGTACTTAACTATGTCAATAACACTAATATTTACAAATTAATAACACTAATTTAACTTGAGAAAATTATTGTAAGCAGAATTATGAAGTGAAGTTTGTCTGAGCTGTACATCAAAATATCTAGCTATTTACTACAAAACAACAGTGCAGTATAAACTCTGAAAATAGTTTTCTGTTTCAGAATTATGATTCATATTTTAATATCTATTCCAAAAGGAAAATAAAGTTTCATATCAAGAGTTGTTGTAGACAAGTTGAATCTAAGAGTCACAGACTTTACGAAATGTTGCACGGGGTAGTCGTATTATACCGCAGTAGGTGTTGGGGAAACGTGGTGGACTGAATTCGTGTCCCTCATGAAAAAGAGGTCGGTGGCGGGTTCTTTTAAACACGGTAATGAACCTTCAGGTCCCATACAACGCGGGGAATTTCTTGACTAGCTGAGTGACTGTTAGCTTCTCAAGAACTGTGTTCATAGGTTTAGAGAATGAGGAAGCAAGAGTAGAATGGAGAACATTTTATTATGAGGAGATACATAGCTTGTACTCTTATTTGGGTGATAAAAAGACGATGAGATTGACAAGTCGTGTAGTACGCATGTGAGCGATGAGAGCACAGGCCTACAACAATTTAGTTGGAAACGCGAACAGACAACCTGTAAGAGATGGGCGTAAATGGGAAGTATTTGAAAAAAAGTAGGTTGCGAGGGTGTTGACTGATTTAATTTGCTAAAGGGAGGATCTAATGGCTTTTTTCCTTTGTACAGAATAATGACCCTACGGGTTTCATCAAAGACGAATTTCTTGACTACCAATCACTAACTCTCCAAGGAGTGTGGTTCGTAGAGTTAGTTAATTCATGTATCATTGAATTGTATCAAGAACATCACATAAGTATGTCACGCGATTCAGTACAGGTTACAAAAACTGGATGGTACGAAACTGGTTCTACCTTACTGCAACATCCAGTCGGCCATAACTGATTTCCGTGTTAAAAGACGATCACATATGTAACAACGGACAAGCAAATCTGATGTATCTCGTAATATCTGCAATGCTGCTCTGGAATTTTGACCCATTTTACATTCTGAGGTACCAGCTCTCAAATGCACATGTTATAATGGGCCGTGCATTAACGCAAAGAGTACATGTTATGTGTGTACGCAACTCGATATGTTGTACTCGTATTGGTGGGAGTCCATAACAACAATTAACTCATTTTCAACTTGTCGTGCGTGAGGTCAGACGTAAGGACTAATTTGTATGCTTGCTTGTCGTCGATGTGCGCAATAAGCTAACCGAACTATACGACTCCATCGGGTAGAGTCCTTCTAGGGAAGGTGACAGTACTTTACCTAAACCAGAAACTTCTCGTCTTTTATTTATCCCGAATGTTCATCACCGTGTTCACAAGATACCGTCCCCAGTCCACACCCTCCGGCTCTATCCCCCTAAGATCCATTTTTAGTACCTCCCATCTACGCCTAGATCTTGTGAGTGGTCTCTTTTTTCAGGTTTTTCAGCTGAAATTTCGCATTTTTCATTACCGATTGATCTGAAAATAAATAATTGATTTGTGCTCGTAGGACGAGCGAACTAGTGGCACTGATGGCGATATCGACAACGCTGTTCTTGTTCATCCACACGCGAGATCTGCACACCAAGCTGAAGGCGATGGAGGTGAAGCTGCAGCCAGAGGACATGCTCTCAGGCAAGTGGTCGCGATTCACTTCAACTCTTTAATGTCATTTGTCTGCTCCGAAATTCAAAGCGAAGAACGTCAGTTGTAAATGGGGTAAGTTAGTTTCATTTAGGCTAAGAAGGTTTAGTTCAGGTTAGCAACGCCTTTGCGCAGGTAATACGCAGTTGCGTGGTACTCATACGTCATTAAATGAACTAGACGTGTTTTTGGCACTATCAATTGAGGGAACTTGAAGGAAATTACAACTCTGCCAAGTTTATTTACGATTAAAATATTATCGATTCTAGCATCACATCCATAAAAATTGTTATTAATTGCCGTTCAGGTGTGATTCAGTTATTGGATGCGTAGAGGGAGCTAACGCACCTGAAGACTGGTTATTTCTACGTTTCCTAAGAATGTAGATAGGCACTCTTTTGTGGTATCCCAAACGAATTGTTTAACTTGATGCCACACAAAAAATAATTTATTCAGTTAATCATAATTTTATTTACTTTTCACAGTCCATACAAACATAACAGGGCACCTATCATGATAATATGTAAATAACGCCAGGTTACTCATCTCAAGCCAGTTACAGCATTGCAGCAAGAAAATGCGTCTAATAGTAATTGCGATCTCACTCTTCTCATTGCAGATAAATAATCATATTTCATGACTAGAAGTCACAGTTCTGAGGAACGGCTCATTCAATACCAAGGAAGTATAAACCGACTTTTCGCATTTTCCCCACGTCAGAGTAATAACATACATTCCTTAACCACACTGTGAAATACTCACATTTTATGCATATTTAACACAAAAATATTTTATTTTGATGTACATAATGGTTTGTTTTATCACCACTCTCGTTTGCAAGAACTTACCTCACGAACGTAACACAGCTAAGGCGCCATGTAAAATGAATACTGATTTTCGTTCATATAAAGGTCAAAGCTTTGATCATATACATTTACAAAATAACACATGCACTTTATAGCAGATGTAATTCTCAAAAGTTAGTCCTCTTTAAATTCCGGCAGATAGCAACATTGATCGTTGTTGAGAAGTAAGATTGGGCCCCATTCTGTTGTACGTGTGTTTGGTGAATATTTAAAAATCTTTTCCTGGATAGCCATGGAAATAAGTATATAAGCAAATTTCTATCATTGAAAGTATTTGCGAGAACATGACCACACACAACACACTAGTGACGACCTTCTCCGTTTATGACCTTATAAGTAAATTCGAGTGTCAGGACGTATTTTTAGTATTTTCTCAGGAGAACTATATAATGTGGAACTGGTGGCGCCGAATATATCGATATGACTTTCAGCACTTTTAGATTACTTTATAAGCTGTTAATCCATTTTTATACAACTGCACAATGCAGATCTTGCTTTGGTAACCGCTGGTATTAATAATTTACCCATACTCAACTTCTGTCATTTTCATCTCAGTAACTTACAGGAGGTCAATGCCGCAATAAGGGAGATTTTGTAAAGATTAGCAGATGCTGCTTCGCCACTTCCGCATCCTTAAAGCAAGTAGCGGAGTTTAGCACTTCGCATCACACATCTGTTAAGCGATCGTCATCTCTCGAGGCTAAATAGGAATGGAAAGGTGTATTTATTTTACTGAAGGCAGTGGTGGCTGATACGCCGCTTTCACACAACTCCTTGGACGGAGCATAGGAATTTATGTTTATCTCTAAAGTAATTTGAAGTTTTCTAATGTGTTGAAATGGTTTGTACTCGTCAAAGTTAAATCGCATTATCCTATTTGTAATTTTTCGATCAGTGAACACATCACTGAAAATAGGTTAGGTTAGCTAACGTTACAATAAGTTAGCGTAGGCTACTATATAGTTAAAATAGAGTAGCCATTACCATGCGATGGGTTTCCGTATTGTTAAGAATATTGTTAAGAACAGATACTAGAGCAGTAACAATGTGGATTTACGAAGGGGCCCTCATGTTCTGATTGCACATTTGTAATGGAAAAACTTACGCAAAATAGGGAATATTGGGAAACAAATTATGGAATATCATGAGGAATAAAGGAGTCCCTGACGTCTTAATAAAATAATTACAGGTAATGGAACAAGAGTCTTACATCAAAGAAGATGTAGCTAATAAATCAAGGTAAAAAAGAAACAAGGATGTTCCTTGTCTCCATCTGAAGCCATTAATCATTGGACAAGTAGTCTAAGTGAAGGAATAACAATTAATAAATATAATTTAACTGCATTTTTCGCTGGCGATCAGGTAATTTTAGTGAGTCAAAAGGACAATGTGGAGACAGTCACCATCCAATTCGAAGTTAGAGACAAAAACAAGATTAATATTTTCATCTATCGAGGTTTTACATTAGTTTGGATGAGATAACACGACACCAGCCAGGCACAGCCTTTTGTCGTTAGGCGCGTGACTGAAGACCGAAGTGCTGCTAACGAAAGAAGCATCGCACACGACGCAGGAAGGTCTGTGACTCATTCACTTATCTCGGTCGCCGGTTTACGCCAAACTTCGCAGCAAGTTCAAGATCATTGTGTTACGGTAACAGAAGTTCGAAGTTTCCTCTTTACGGTTGATTACGTTCGGTTCTGTGGCCAGAGACGCTCTAACGGCAACAAATGTGGCATGGAAACCATTTTGTTTTTGTTTTTGCTACGTGTCTTGGTGCTTCGTGCTTTCGAAAGAAATGCGATACATTTTAAAACTGATGTTTTTATTGAACTACTTATTCACATATTCATAAAACTCGTGGTCAGATCAAGGAGGGTGACATGCCTGGGATATCGAGCACGTCAGCATGTAACATGAAAAACACGAAAGGAAGATACCACTTGGGAGATCTAGGCGTAGATGGTTGATATTAAATTGGATTTCAAAAACAATAGGATGTTTCGATGTGAACAGGATTCAAGTGGATGAGAACAGAGCCCAGCGATTGGCTTCTGTGATTCCGGAAGTGAACTTCCGGGTTCCATAAAAGACGGGAAGAACTTATTGCCAAGCTTACCGACCGTCAGCTCCTGAAGAATGACTTTGCTCCACGGAGATTCGAGATTTAACAGCACTGTTTAAATTGTTGATGTTTGCCCCCAGCAGAACGAGTGACGGAAGGAAGGTGGTCTTATATGGTGAAAAGTTTAATTAGGTAGATAATAATATTATTATGTTAATTTAAATCGTATTTTCTCTTGTTCCAGGAGACAGCGCAGCTGGAGTTGGGGGAGGTAGTGGCAACACTGCAGTGAGCGCCATGGTCAGAATTTTGACCCAGAGCGACGAGGTTAGTTTTCAAAACCGTGATTTAGCATGCCCATGGGGAATTAGAACAGTACAGGAGAAATACATAGCGAATTACTTTCAGCGAGCGCCTTGGTTTAGTAATCTTTTCTGCTTTGATTTACGAGGATCCAAGTTACTAAACTCGGTCTGCAGACCGGCTGCCTTGAATGATTTGCGTTACTAGTAATCTTGTGGCTTATGCACGAGCCCTTCTTGAGAAAATAACAGTCGCTCAGCTAGCCTGTCAAGGAACGCGGAGTTTCGTTGTCGGGTTTACAAAATCCTGCCACTAGTCTCACCTCAGTCCAAACCCACCTTATTTCCATAAGAATCATTTTAATATTATCCTCTCCATCTCCTGAACGCTATTCAAATAGGCTGCGTGCTGAGTCAAATGTACAATATCTATGACAGCAATTCACTTACAGTTAGCTTGACCACGCAATGAAGTCTGTCATAAGTTAGTACAGACTTGATATCAGGACAACTGTTTGCCTAGTTTTGTCGTTATTTTATAAAAAAGTAATGAGCTGTAGTTGCTTGAATTCTTTTTACTGTCAGTAGTTTGTCTCTGGTCTACATTTCGTGCCCTTGTTCCTTAAATAAAGGTGAACTTACACTGCAGAATCACCATGACAGCGTATATGTGAAACTGAAACTTCACGATGATTACAGTTCTGTAGTCTGCCATTTTGAAGTGTCTCTTGAGGTCAGTTTAACGGAATTCGAAGAAACAAATTGCACCTGGTCCAAAACAAGCATGCAGCCTTAATTTGCAATGACTTTAAATGTGCATTCAGTTCGAGGTTAATGGGCCTGGTGGTAAAATACAGGCAAAACAAAATTTACTACGTAAGACTGGCAAATGATGATGTTCTTTCCACAAAGTGCATGAAATGAACGCGCGGTGTGTAAGTTGTGTTTATTACCAACATCTTTTTATGTCTTTGTTTCTTCCTGCGGAATCGTGTTTATCCCTTAGAGCAGTGGTCCCCAAATTTGTTGTGCCTATGGGCACATTTGAAAGTTTATGAGATCGTGGCGGGCACCAACCAATTAACAAAGCCAAATTTTCATTTCTCTGGACAAATAAATATGGACACCAAATAATACACAAACCAACACGACGTTTAATGATACAAGAAACCATGCAATCAAAAATACTTACTTTTATAAGTACAATTATTATTACTCAAGTGGGAAGTTAGTGTGATGTTTGGCGCTGCATTTCATCGGCCAGTTTTTCAAATTTGGGAGTGTAGGATGATGTTGCTGCTCGCAAACAATCGTCAAGATGGCCATTAGTAAGTAGAGATCTGTGCTTTGATTTTATAATGTTCATGGTTGATCGGCCTTCATTATTCAGTATAACCTCTTTCCGTATCAACGCGGGCACTCAAAAAGAGCCTTGGCGGGCGCCGCGTTGGGGACCACTGCCTTAGAAATTACGAAAACGAATATTTTCGACGATGATAGATTCCCATAAAACTAGATGAGAACGTGTCGCCACTGTTACGAACTGCGCTAGCGTGTTCCCATGTGCCACAGCTGGAGTCGCTGGATGCGCAGGAGCTGAACAACACACGTCACGCAGGTGTCGACGTCGTGTTCTTCAACCGGGTGCCCAAAGTCGGCAGCCAGACATTTATGGAGCTGCTGAGGAGGCTGTCCATGAGGAACATTTTCGGCTTCCACCGCGATCACATACAGAGGGTCGAGACCATCCGCCTAGCTCCCAGCGATCAAGTGAGTGGCTGGCAGTAAGCTGGGTGACCTACAGACTGGCTGGTTAACAAACCGAGTGACCGATTAATGGACCGACTGACTGGCATTGACTCTTTGATTCACAGACCGACTGACTGATAAACTAACTGCCTGATTGACGACTCAGTGGAATAATCTATTATTTTACTGTCGGACTGACGCGCGGTCTGATTTATCTATTATGATTAACAGACTGACTGGCTGACGATCAAGCTGATTGATCGATTAATTGTTCGACGGACTGACTGAGGGAAAAATCGACCGAACGAAAGACGGGCCAAACAATTAGAGGACTAATTAGTCAAAGAACTCTTTCACTAGCTACTCGTAGATCATTACTGAATAACCAACAAATTAAGTATCGCACAAAGTACCGTACCAAACAGTAAGTATATTACTTACTGTCTAATTGAGTGACGGTCTATCAGCCTGACTAACCCTGTAAATCCCAATGGTCACTGTATGTCCCACTTGCTTCAACAATCAATAAATCTAATTAGCAAGCTAACAAACTATCTCATTCCTATCTGACGTAATCACAAACGTCATACATTGGTTCCTGTTCCGAGCCAAATCCAGTTCACACCTTCAAACACTTCTTCGCCGATATTAATTTTAATATTATGCTCCCATCTGTGCCTACGTCTCCTAAAGTATCTTCTGCCACGCGGTTTTATAACCTGCATGTCGATGAATTTCTTGTTATTTGATGTGTGAGCCTTCTTCATTTAATCACCTGCTGTTTCCGTTACATCGACAGCTGAATCTCGCAACCCACGTCATCAGCTACAAGCCGCCTGCCGTGTATGTGAAACACGTGTGCTTCACCAACTTCACACAGTGAGTACGTGACTTCAATTCATAGGGCCTTCGGTGGACGGCCAATAGGTGCAGACCTACGAAACATAATTAAGTAACATTTGCCTGTGAAATATTTGTTACTAATTTGTCGGGTTGTTTAGGCCCTTTGTTGTTATGTCGACATCTACACAGGTTCATTTAATTCATTTTCTTATAATATAGCATTATTTCGTTATCTCTTATAACCTTCTGAAATACATTGAGTTTTGAAAGGTACGTACAATCGATTCTAGATGACGAAGATTCAACGTATGTTCTTTGCACCTTGGAACTTTAAATAATCTTGATCGTTCACCTCTGTCACATTAGTATGTAATAAGACTAAATACAGAAGCACAAATAAACACAACCATAAAAATATTCTAAGTAACTTAGCAGCATCATTAGGCTATCAGAAAATAGTCAGATTGTATTTGTCTTTCCTGTACTTTTATTTCTGGCAGATTTTAATACTGAAATTACGAGTAGTAAGGCAAGCATCTGGATGCTACAGATCAAGTGAAAACACTTAGTTCTTCAAGTACATTTAAAGTAACATTCGAAGTCACAATCTAACAGAACAGGCTCTCTCTCTAACCTAATGTAGACCTACCTGAAATCCTGCTTAGTCTTAAAAGACGGTTGTAGGGTAATTTGACAGGTGGTGCAACTATGCCTGATAGTAATTTGACGTGATATTAAAAGGCCAGTTACATAAAAAACAGCAAGATTATCTGTATTACTGACTTTTTGAACTTTGTTCATCGTCTGGTGTTCTAAGAACACACGGATGTCTACTTTCCCTGGTGTAAGGGGAGGAGAAGCACCTGTTCTGTTGGGTCCGAAAGAAAGAACCAACCTCAATCACTTGCGTGTTTTTAGAATACCAGACGATGGACAAAGTCCAAAAATTCAGTAATCCAGATTGTAATACACCATCATCATAATCCTTTAGAATCGATTGGCAGGTTCATGTGTTATACACCAGATATCTCAAACACAGCGTGAAAATAGTTCAGTAATCTATCGTTAGGCATTATATGTCTGACACAACGTCATTTTTGCACCAGGTACGGATTGCCGGAGCCAATTTACGTGAATTTGGTACGGGATCCCGTCGAGAGGGTCATATCATGGTATTACTATGTCCGGGCGCCCTGGTACTACGTGGAACGTAAACAGGCCTTCCCAGACATTCCACTACCAGACCCTCACTGGCTGAAGAAGGTGAGTTGCAGGCCCTGGACTGCAAACCCCACTGCCCAACATTGCGAATACACAACAGGCATTTTTCCAATGGCGCTACCCATACGAAGTCAAATGTTTCGTTTTTAGGTCCTCTTCACGCTCTAGCGTGAGCGTGGCCCCATCCATGTCTGTCTCTGTCTACAGCATTTTTCCTACAAACTAGGCGGATTGCATGAAATTGAATTATTATTGCAACACACTTTTGCGACAACGGTGGCCAAACTCACTGTTGGAACACGTTGAGGCAGATGGAGTACTCTTTCAAATCTTCGTGTTCTCCACATTTGGTCGCAGTGCATGAAGTATTATCTTTTAAAACTGTAGTAATAGCAAATGTTCTCATTCGGTCTAAAATTTACAGTTCACTTAATAATAATAATAATTGCTGCTGCACTGTGTACCCCAGGGGCAAGGTTTGTCTCCGGTACATAGAAGTAAATACCCTATAAAGTGGTGAATAGAAGGAATAATAATAAAATATGAATGATTCGTTCTTCGTATCATTGAAGACCTCCCATTAAACCTAATGGCCTCAAAATGGATGCAATGTGAAGTCTTAGAGGTAACAAATACAACTCATTAAACAAGAATACTGACCATCCCACACGGACTCCACTTTATATCGGAGTTATTTCGTGAAAACACGACTCCAATATGGACTTCACGACGTCACGAAAGTCACATATCCCGACGTTCAAAGGTAATTTTTTGTATGTGTGTGATAGGGATATTTCAACATGCCATATCACTTTTCGCGAATCTGTGAACACGGTGAAACGAGTTATTCCTACAACAAAATAGGAGACACTTTCAACGTTTGTTTTAACCTTAATATGTAATCATAATCTGGTATGTGTAATAAACACAACATTCAACTATGGGGTGCGTGATATCTGGAATGACCCTTAAAATAAAACGCGACCTGAAATACCATTTCTCGTAATAAACAACTAAAGTAACTGAGGTACGTTCTAACACTCCGTTCCCTATCTAAACTCATAACAGCAACATTTAGTTTACTATAGACCCATTTGCTGGCCTTTTACCGGACATTTAAAATGCATAAAAGGAAAGGCAGTTTGAGATAGAAAAACTAACTAGGCTAAAGGGTAAAGTCGACCTTGTGCCTCATCACTATTCCACGAAATTAATGGCAGTGTGTGAAAAGTGTAATTCATTTTTAACTTTGGCACCACACGCAGAACAGTGGTTAATTTTAAACTCTGGCTGCTTTATGCATAGAGTGAGGGCCAATACCTACTGGACAAAAGACCAGCACATAACACTGCATGTGATCCATTACAAAATATTTCTTGTCTGTTGCAGGACTTCGAGACCTGTGTGCTACAGGGAGATCGTGAATGCAGGTATTTGGAAGGAGAGTCACATGAGGGAATTGGAGACCATCGCCGGCAGTCCCTGTTCTTCTGTGGCCACAGTGACTTTTGCACGTAAGTCAAATGACACAAATCTGGGATTTCTCATCGCAGTTAAATGTTAACATTCCTGTTAGTGAGTCAACTTTTCTGTTATCAGTTATGTTCTATCCTTGGTTAACATCAAAAAGCGTGAATCTGCAACTTTATTCTGTTGACACACATTGTCTTCAAGTTACTTTGTCACCCTATTAGAAAATATTGCGGATGTGCTTCTTCACTATTCAAAGCCCTGTTGTTATTGTATGTACCACCTTCTTCAGCTGAATTTAACAATCGGTAACTCTGCATTTTGTATTTACAGGTATAATATGGTTCTCATTGTAAACAGGGATGATTTTTTTAAAATATCTTTGACCAACTTATTTTTTTCAGTAGAAAAATGTTATGTTTTCTCTAAGGTATAGATTGAATTCTTAAATATGATTTAGATGAACATTAGCTTCAAAGGGTTAATGAATGACATATTTTAAGCTGTGAAAATTATGGCCTTATAGTGTTGAATGACAAGATGAGTTTAATGAAGAACTGGAAAGGATGTACGAGGGTCGCTCATTAAATAATGCCCCAGATTTTTTCTTCAGAATATATTTATTCAAGATGGCTGAAATTATAAAAATATAATATAAATTAATGTTTCCTTTACAAATATGAATGATTCGTTCTTCGTATCATTGAAGACCTCCCATTAAACCTAATGGCCTCAAAATGGATGCAATGTGAAGTCTTAGAGGTAACAAATACAACTCATTAAACAAGAATACTGACCATCCCACACGGACTCCACTTTATATCGGAGTTATTTCGTGAAAACACGACTCCAATATGGACTTCACGACGTCACGAAAGTCACATATCCCGACGTTCAAAGGTAATTTTTTGTATGTGTGTGATAGGGATATTTCAACATGCCATATCACTTTTCGCGAATCTGTGAACACGGTGAAACGAGTTATTCCTACAACAAAATAGGAGACACTTTCAACGTTTGTTTTAACCTTAATATGTAATCATAATCTGGTATGTGTAATAAACACAACATTCAACTATGGGGTGCGTGATATCTGGAATGACCCTTAAAATAAAACGCGACCTGAAATACCATTTCTCGTAATAAACAACTAAAGTAACTGAGGTACGTTCTAACACTCCGTTCCCTATCTAAACTCATAACAGCAACATTTAGTTTACTATAGACCCATTTGCTGGCCTTTTACCGGACATTTAAAATGCATAAAAGGAAAGGCAGTTTGAGATAGAAAAACTAACTAGGCTAAAGGGTAAAGTCGACCTTGTGCCTCATCACTATTCCACGAAATTAATGGCAGTGTGTGAAAAGTGTAATTCATTTTTAACTTTGGCACCACACGCAGAACAGTGGTTAATTTTAAACTCTGGCTGCTTTATGCATAGAGTGAGGGCCAATACCTACTGGACAAAAGACCAGCACATAACACTGCATGTGATCCATTACAAAATATTTCTTGTCTGTTGCAGGACTTCGAGACCTGTGTGCTACAGGGAGATCGTGAATGCAGGTATTTGGAAGGAGAGTCACATGAGGGAATTGGAGACCATCGCCGGCAGTCCCTGTTCTTCTGTGGCCACAGTGACTTTTGCACGTAAGTCAAATGACACAAATCTGGGATTTCTCATCGCAGTTAAATGTTAACATTCCTGTTAGTGAGTCAACTTTTCTGTTATCAGTTATGTTCTATCCTTGGTTAACATCAAAAAGCGTGAATCTGCAACTTTATTCTGTTGACACACATTGTCTTCAAGTTACTTTGTCACCCTATTAGAAAATATTGCGGATGTGCTTCTTCACTATTCAAAGCCCTGTTGTTATTGTATGTACCACCTTCTTCAGCTGAATTTAACAATCGGTAACTCTGCATTTTGTATTTACAGGTATAATATGGTTCTCATTGTAAACAGGGATGATTTTTTTAAAATATCTTTGACCAACTTATTTTTTTCAGTAGAAAAATGTTATGTTTTCTCTAAGGTATAGATTGAATTCTTAAATATGATTTAGATGAACATTAGCTTCAAAGGGTTAATGAATGACATATTTTAAGCTGTGAAAATTATGGCCTTATAGTGTTGAATGACAAGATGAGTTTAATGAAGAACTGGAAAGGATGTACGAGGGTCGCTCATTAAATAATGCCCCAGATTTTTTCTTCAGAATATATTTATTCAAGATGGCTGAAATTATAAAAATATAATATAAATTAATGTTTCCTTTACACATACTATTTTTCTACATAGTACCCATCAACTTGTACGGTTTTACGCCAGCGTGGAACAAGTGCGTGCATGCCTTGCCGGTACCAGCTCTTGTCCTGTGCACGTAGACATGTCCTCACTGCTTGAATCACGCTCTCATCATCTTCAAACCTTGTTCCGCGGATAGCATCTTTAAGTGGCCCAAAGAGATGGAAGTCGGAGGGTGATAACACCACCACTGTCCCAAAAGACAGTCATCATGACTTTTCCGGTGGAGGGAGTTGCCTTGAATTTCTTCTTTCTCGGTGATTGAGGATGATGCCACTCCATTGACTGCCTTTTTGTCTCAGGTTCAAAGTGGTGTATCCAGGTTTCGTCACCTGTAATGATCCCTCAGCATCAAAACGTTCCAACAATTCGGAAGAAATTGTTTTCCTTTGAATCCTGTGGTCTGCTGTGAGACTTCGTGGAACCCATCTTGTGAACACCTTCGAATATCCGAGAGCCCGGATAATTATAATCACACTTTCATTGCTGACTGAAAGCTGTTGGGCCATTTGTCGAGTTGTGATGCGCCGATCCTTACGAATAATGGCATCCGCGCTGTTCAACATGTCTGGAGTGGTGGCTGTGGCAGGATGTCCAGAGCGCGGGAGATCACGGAGCTCGGTTTCTTCGCTTCCTGAAGCTTTAACTCTCTTAGCCCAGCGACCAACGGTGCTCCTATCGACTGCACAGCTTCCATACACAGCATAATGTTCACCACAGTTTCTTTTTCCGCAAAAAAGAATTCAATTACAGCTCGTTGTTTGTAACGAGAGTCGTTCACATACGCCATTTTAACAGTTCATTACAACTCCGCCATCTGTTGGAATCATTTGAAACTCAAGATCACGCAAACTGTTTCAGAATAAGAGGCCTGAAGCTTTTCAAGGTCATTCGAAGTACTATTTTCTCACGCATATACGTACTTTTACATGTTTGAAATTTTATGTTTCCCGCGTTCGTGTACGGAGTTTCAAATGATTCCAATAGATGGCGGAGCTGTAGTGAACTGTTAAAATGGCGTATGTGAACGATTCTCGTTACAAAAAACGAGCTGTAATTGAATTTTTTGCGGAAAAAGAAACTGTGGTGAACATTGTGCTGTGTATGGAAGCTGTGCAGTCGATAGGAGCACCGTTGGTCGCTGGGCTAAGAGAGTTAAAGCTTCAGGAAGCCAAGAAACCGAGCTCCGTGATCTCCCAGGCATTCAGCTCTATAGAGTTTTAAGGCCAAGAACATGTGAAGCATTGCCTACATAACCTCAATGTGTCTTAACAGCATGCTTACTTAAGCACATAGGTAACTTCACTTATGGTTGTGATACATGCAGGTTTATAGGAACATAATTTGTAACGAAGAGATGTGTTCTATGTTTTCAGGCCTTTCAATACACTGGGGGCCCTTCAGAGGGCCAAGAAGGCTGTGGAGCGCCATTACGCTGTGGTTGGGGTGTTGGAGGACCTGAACTCGACCCTTACAGTACTCGAGAACTACATCCCTCTCTTTTTCAAGGGGGCCACACAAGTTTACTGGGGTGTGTAGTTTTGTGTCACAGTCTTAGTTGCCTGTTGTTGCCACAACTCTGTACCTTTCTGCACAGAAGCCTTATTTCTTATTTACTCGGAACACCTAGATTTTATGTACATGACCTCAATTTTCACTTATCTTTTCATCCATAGTTAGGGGAAGTGAAGGAATGAGTGTTTCCACTGGCACTACAGACATTAAAATAATTATTCATACTACTGTAATGGATTATTAGTGATTAAACCACAGGTTCTAAAGAATGAAAGTTGGATTTATTGAACACTCACTATTACAGTCAATTATTTCCTTGGTTATTGTTCAGTCAGTTTACAAACCACAGTCTTGCTGTCTTCATCTCACTTAGGAACTGCATGCTTTTTTCCAAGCTGTACAATCAACTGCTCACCAGCACACCACTCATTCTGAACTGATAATCACATGTACGCTGACTCAGCCACTGCTCATGCACTGCTGTTTAAAGTTTCACTTCATTTTTTCAGAAGGATGAACTCTGCTAAATGACTCTGGTTCCCTTGACATTGTTCAGGTGCTAAATCGCATTGCTGCAAGATTCTGGTTATGATTTGCACACGCCATAGGGTGATGTGACACAATATCCAGAAAGAGGTTGCAGGAAGGTGGGGGGACAGGCCACTGAAGTATTCATGAGACACAGGAACATGTGTTCGTGACAATATAAAAGTGTTTATATATATTCAGATTCGTTTGATTCCTTTCTTGTATAGTCATGACAGAGTCTACAGACAATTTTAGGTTACCACACATATAAGTGGAATATCATACTTCTGCAGTACATGAATAAAAATTATACAAAGAGAATAAATTCAGTGTCAGTAATTTTTGACACATGGAACTTGTTATTCTGTACAAGGACAAACTACAAGAACATTAATTAATCAGCACTATCATCACAGAAAATGAATAGAACTAACCAGTTTTCCACATATTTTTAAATCCTTATAATATTTCAAAATCCTGTCTGTTGCGTCAGTCCAATGCAAAAGTTAGTGTGGACATCACTTAGCTTTAGAAGATTTTAGAGTGATATACAATGACATAAATTTCATATTTTATTTATGTTTCAACAGACGAGGTGGATCGATTTACAAGAATTAACAGGAACCTGTTCAAGCCTCCTGTAAGTGAAGAAGTAAAAGATATTGTGAGGCAGAACTTCACGCGTGAGGTGGAGTTCTATCAGTTCTGTCGGCAACGCCTCCACCGGCAACTCTTGGCATTACGACTACCATCTACACACAGTGGGGCATGACTTTCTTTTCTTGTCGCCAGTGGGTAAACTTTTTCACTAGGCAGCAGGATCACTGCCTTGAGATATGAGGTATAGGTACAGCAAGGGTTCTCAAACCATGGCACAGCAATTTTTTAATGTGACCTCCATAAATTTTTGTAATATTGCATCACTCTGAAAAATGAAGGAATAATTACTGCCTAAATTAAATATTTGATTTTAAGTCATTAATTAATAAAAACATAAAATCAACAAACTTATTAAAGACAATTACTCAGTAATGTGTCAATATATTTGTGATAAGTAGGATTTGAGGTTTTCGTGGTGGTGACTGAAGATGGCTGGCTTCTGTGTTGTGCCGTGTCGTCTGGTAGAAGTTTACTAACCCCTGATGATGGAGGCAGCAAGGACCTCTGAAACACTGGTAAACTTCTACCAGACTACACAGTGCAACAACCCAGAAGACAGACATGTATTTATGATAAGTTAGGAGTGTTCTTAATAAATTTGCTTGTATTTCAATAAACTGACATCATTTATAACCTAGTGGCCCTCAAGTCAATAATAAGAATTGTGAGTGCAGCCCTAGGTCTTTTTAGGGCTGAGAACCCCTGATTTTCGTAAATGAGAAAAAGGTCTCAACAAATAATCTTTGCTTCTTTGTGGAATCACTTTCATTACAGCTGATTTCCAATTTTCACTTGCGTTAGTTTCTTGGAAAATACGACTGATACAAATGATGTAAACTGAAATATTGCTCAGTTATATTATTTTGCCTTTTATCTACCATAACAAAATTTCTTGAACAATGTTTTGACTTCAGCCGTAGTGATGCTATTTATGAAATGTTATCAAACACTCTATAACCTAGAGAATTAACAATAGATGATGAAAAGCACAAAGATCAGCTGATCTACTAAACTCTTCTATTAAAAGTTTTTAAAGGAAGTTGTTCTATAATGTTTTGCAGTATTAATATCTAAATACAGAATGTATGATTGAAGACTTTGTTTTATATTCAGATTAGTATATAAAATAGTAAATCCTTAAAATGTTTTAAATATAAAGAGAGGAGAACTAAAATATTGGATTATATGCAGGCTACCACCTGTACCATTTTACTTCTTAACATCCATAATAGCAAAACTACGTCTCTCAAACACAATATTTGTTTGATATGGTTGTGGGAATAAGAAGCTAATATTTTGGATTTCATTGACAGCAGTGATGGAATTTTTATTGTGTCTTGCCAACATACCTTTTTCTGTTTCCCATTGTTACATGTTTCCGAGTCATCAGATATGATAGGTCTAACAAGCCATATTTTATTTTGGGATAAATATCTTAATTTGTTAACATGTGAAACCAAACAGTGAAGCCTGTGTATAAAATGAAATTCGCATTAATTTCAATGTAAATAATTCTGACTACTTCCCGTCTTCCAGAAAAATTACCCAATCCCATATATGTTAGACCAGTGGTATTCAACCTGGGGTACGCGTACCCCCATGGGTTCGCGAAGACATCTTAGGGGATATGTGAAATTTAAAAAATATATATGTTATTTTATAATAAACACTGAATAATCAGTAATGTAATTTATTTAATTTATTTTAGATGTAGATTATATACTATGTATAACTTGGATTATACACCAATAACTTCGGGGGTACAAAGTTGAAGAGAAATTATATCTGGCGGTACGCAAACAAAAAAGATTGAATACCACTGTGTTAGACTACTTTATAATCATAAAAATAAGGACAGTATTGCACTTTTATGTGTTATTACCTGTTTAACACTGAAAATCACTATTTGAGAGTTAAGTCAGACTTTTAGATTGTACAGCAATTACTGTAGTTAACAGTATAAACACCAGAACTTATGTAAACAAGGAATAAATATTTGTTTTCATTAAGACCTTAAATTCTATATGATTATGGGAAGTGAATCAGTCTCACATTTTCTGTGTGCTACATAATTCTATATTCCTTCACGTGCTTGGCCCTTGGACATAGGTTGATTTTTTGCTTGGTGAAAATAATGTTCATAAATTGAAAAATAAATATAGACTTTCATTGTTCATTGTAGCAAAGATGTATAAAACAGAAGTTCGTAAATTGAGAGATTGGTTTATTTAGTATACATATGCCAGTAATACTGTGAGAGGCTTCCAGTTTAGAATCTGGACTTCTATATGCACAGAATGATTACTAGTATAAGTCTATGAAGGTCAGACAGTTCTAGGCCAGTGGAAACCACCACCAATTACAATATTTTACTGCAAACCAGACATAGTATAAAGAGGTTTCCTAATTTAATTTTTCACCACAGTGACAAAATTCAAGTAAGATTGTATTTAATATGTAAATCTGTGTGTCTGTGTATAGGTCTGTGCACTTCAGTATATTTGTGTTGTATGAATGATAAAATGAATGAAGGATATTTAAATAAAATTGTATATTTTTATTTAATATAATAAAATATTTTCCATTTTTATTTCTTATTTACATAGCTTTGTACACATGGGTTTACAGCCCAAGGATTGAAGTCTCTAAGGCAGTTTACATGAATGACTGTAATGCATTTAGTACTAAGCACTTAGGAAAGTAGATGTAATAATTTTTTATTACTCCATGTAACAAAGGAACCTGCAATCCATATGAGAGGAGAACCAAGTTAACTTATTTTTATGGCCTATGCTGTGTAGGCCTGCTTCATGTTGCTATTTTTAAAACCACACACATCCATGAGTTCAGCAGCTAATTCGGTGAGGTACATGGTGATGCATCATCCTTTCAAGGGTCAACACTAAGTTTGGAGAGGTGCCACTATACATAGTCTACAGTGACGAGATTGTGACTTCCAGCTTAGGCCCTCAACACTTCACATTATCTCTAATTTCTCACAGTGTTAGCTAACTGAATGTAGCAGGACCTTTGATGAAGTTCATTATCATTCATGTGGTCAAGTAATTCCTGATTTTATAGAACCTAAAGTTTCATGAACATCTTTACAAAAACTGTCCAGTTGATTGTTTTCCAGCCTGCTTAATCCAATCTCCACCATGAAATTCCTTTCTCTAAGATCGATTGTAATATCATGCTCCCATCTATGTATAGGCCTATGAAGTGTCCTGTTGCTATGAGGATGGCTGTCTTCTGGGTTGTTGCACCATATATCATGGTAGAAATTTACCAACGATTTAGAGGTACTTCGTGGCTCCATCATCAGGGTCATCAGACATGATAATCTTACATAGGGCATGGCCTTCCACATTCTTTCCAATTCATAATCATCCTGGTGACGCAATATAATATGTAAGTTGATAACGCATTGTTAAACCAATAGAGGTTACCCCCTGATTTCTAACATTCGCTACGGATGTAGCCTGTGAAGCTTAGTTCTAATTATATAACACTGACAAAAAACTTTGATGCGGTCCCTCTCAGACTGTTTCTGATGTAGTGTGTCTGACGTATACAGTCTGTGCATGTCTGTGGCTCTGCACGGACCGGTCTCTGTAAGACACATCTCTGACGTGCCGTCTCTGAGAAGCCCAGGTGCGGAAGACAACTCGTGAGGCAGACGCGGACCTGCTGAGACGAGTGCTGCAGAGGCCGGTTGGTGCAG